AATAAATATATAAAAACTAAATTTTAAAAAAGCAGTCACAGTAAAAAGACTTGTACTTTCCAAAGTTATGCTTTGGCACCGAGGAAGGGAGAAAATGGAACAATAGTGTTTTCTTTGAATTTTAGTACCAAACCAGCTGCATTAGAAATCCCTTTATAACTGAGAAACATCGAAGATGGGAGGCACTCCTGAGGTCATCTAGAATTACTAAAGCAGAAAATCAGTTTTATACACTCACAAATAGAGAAACAGAGAAGACAAGGGATAAAGGGACACATCCAAGTCTCACTACAGGGTAGTGACTGAGCATGGACTGAGCCCCCTCCTCCCCAGTTCCCAGACCTGCGTTCTTTCCTCCACATCATACTGGCCCTAAGAGCTACAAACTTCAGCTTTTGGGATGATAATTTATTGAGTTTAAGTTTAATACACAAACATCTCACACAATACACGTGAACCTGTCAGTTATTAAAGTCCATAACCTAATATCGACCTTATTTCCGCTGGCTGTCACTGGGCTTGGTTTACACAAAGTCACCTCCTTGAAAACAATTAAGGAGCAAAGCCACACAGACAGTATTACAGCCTGTGAAAGACCCTCAAGGTTCCTCCAAAAAGCAATGCTTCATCCGAACATGATGATTCTTAAAGCAACTTGCTTTATCCCAATTCCTATAAGGCTACATAAATAGCAAAACAATAAATATATTAAGTATAGGCCACTTAATGTTAGAGAAAACCAAATCATAAGATCCAGTAGGCTTAGGAACTGCAAGAGTCTCTCTAAGATAGTAGAAATAGACTCAAAAATTCCCAAGGTTTGTTACAGCAAAGATGGACTCCCAGAGCCTTTGGTGGATAGGAGAGTTGAAGTGAATTGTCTGAACTCAATAGAGGAAGACGAGCTGTCAAAAGTCTATTTTGGGCTACCTATCTGGCTTGCTCCATTCCTTTGAAGAAAAAAGTATCTTAAATGTATCCATCAGTTTATAAAAGCTCTTAACTACAAAACAGATGATGGTTTTCTAGTACTCGAGCTTGGTTTTCAGGCTGTGGCTATCTTTTCAGCTGGCCACCATAAAGTCCACCACTGAAAGGCCAGGTTTCTAAATGCTCCTTCCTCTTGGTGAAGAGATAAATTCAAAAGCAGCGGCGACACATACAGCAATATAATGTATAACATATAATATTACTATATGTGCACATATATATGATATATAAGAAGAGAACACTGGATGATGTTCAATCTTTGTAAAACAAGCATTATTGTTGTTAGGTGCCACCGAGTCGGTTCTGACTCATATGTACACAGAACGTAACACTGTCCAGTCCTGCGCCATCCTCACAATTCTTGCTATGTTTGAGCCCACTGTTGTTGCCACTGTGTCAATCCATCTTGTAAAGGGTCTTCCTCTTTTCCGCTGACCCCCTACCTTGCCAAGCATGATGTCCTTTTCCAGGGACTGGTCCCTCCTGATAACATGTCCAAAGTAAGTTAGACGAAGTCTCACCATCCTCGCTTCTAAGGAGCATTCTGGCTGTACTTCTTCCAAGACAGATTTGTTTGTTCTTTTGGCAGTCCGTGGTATATTCAATATTCTTCGCCAACACCATAATTCAAAGGCATCAATTCTTCTTCGGTGTTCCTTATTCATTGTCCAGCTTTCACATGCCTATGAGGCGACTGAAAATACCATCACTTGGGTCAGGCGCACCTTAGTCCTCAAAGTGACATTTTGCTTTTTAACACTTTAAAGAGGTCTTTTGCAACAGATTTGCCCAATGCAAGATATCATTTGATTTCTTGACTGCTGCTTCCATGGGTGTTGATTGTGGATCCAAGTAAAATGAAATCCTTGACAACTTCAGTCTTTTCTCTGTTTATCATGATGTTGCTTATTGGTCCAGTTGTGAGAATTTTTGTTTCCTTTATGTTGAGGTGTAATCCATACCGAAGGCTGTAGTCTTTGATCTTCATCAGTTAAGTGCTTCAAGTCCTCTTCACTTGCAGCAAGCAAGGTTGTATCATCTGCGTATCACAGGTTGTTAATGAGTCTTCCTTCAATCCTGATGCTATGTTCTTCTTCATATAATCCAGCTTCTCAGGTTATTTGCTCAGCATACAGATTGAACAAGCATAAGTTTGCAGTATTTATAATTTCTGAATTCACACCATTAAAAGTAAATAATTGTTAATTTAATTTTTGAAAGAGAATAGACAAGACCTTTCTAAATCAACTAATAATAAAATTTTTGGCTTAGTTAAAAAAAAAAAAAAAAAAGCAGTGGAGACCAAATACTACTGGCATTAAATTCAAACTCTTAGGAACAGTTGTAACTGTCTAGTATATTTATTTGCCACTCAAAGCAATTCTCTGAGCAGGAACATTAAAGTATCCAAGTAGAAAAAAAAATTTCCAGTGTAAATAAAGATTCCCCTTAAATTTTTATCAATAACTTTGCCAGTAAGAAGGTACATTGGAAAACACCTATCAGATTTGTTCTCTAAAACCATCCATCCCCCCACTTCTGTAATGAGATGGTTCTATTATGTAACAGCACACCAATCCCACCACTAAAGTAACAATCAGATGTTTAAAGAAATATACAAAGAGAAAAAATACTTTGACAGAAATTCACTTTATTCTAATCACTTTCAGAGACACATGGTCCATTATGATTGTACTTTAATGTGCATGGCTCAGATGGGGTCATGGGGGCTGTCCCACTTCCCTAGTGATATTAGCAGAGTGGAAACAGCTGGAATGTAACTCAACATCTGCATCCTCACCTAGCCCTGAGCCCTTATCATTAGAGCTCTGGTCTCAGCAAACTTACCTTCCTCCTAAAAGTTAACCAAATAACAACTCTTCTAGGTTCACTTCACAGCTTTTTTTTTCCCCCATTATTCAGAATTCTGGGATTTCCGGATAAAGTCAAGTGCAGATTGTGATCTGCATTATTCAAGAGCAGTCAACAAATGCACAAAACTCCCATCTTATGTCCCACCTTGGAGGGGGCTCTCTGGAAGGATGAAGTAGGGTTCTAGAAGGGAAGACTTGGAACCCCACTGAAGTTAAGTACACACAGATCCACTTTCAGTAAAGAGCCTTTATTTCTACCTCTTGCGGCTGTTTAAATTCTATGCTGAGGCTTATTACTATCCAGGCTTGAAATCTGTATTGTTTCAGAACGTTTTCTTGAGTTCTCATCACATTTACCTTTCAAATAAACTAGTAAGTCTCAGTCCCCATGACTTTGGAAAACAAGAGAGAGAACATTATTTTTACAAAGTTCTACCCGTTTAAAAACACAATTCTACCCATTTTAAAACATACGGATCCTAATTCGGGATCCCTAACTGTTTCAAAAGCTGTACTCCAAAAGAAAAACTCGTGTGAAAAGTGGAGGGCTGCTAACCAAATCACACAATCCCTGTGCTGCCCATGCTCACGTCATCATCATATTCATGTGTTTCTTCCAGAGAGGCCCACCAAGAACAGAGGTCACCATTCTGTTTAATGATTCTCTGTTAGGGAAAAACTGATGCGGTTAGCGAGGCGTATGGACCTCAACCTCAATGACATCAGAGTCTAATTACCCAGCAATGCTGCAATTCCTAGCAAACGATCAATCTCCAAAGTCAATCTACTGCAGAGGAAATATGAAAATTACCGAAAGGTGTCTAACAGAATGGAAGGGGAAGTTACTTACCTTGTGCAAAGGGAGCACCAGGAATGCTCCTCCCCCACTTGCTTCTATGATTATGGCAACAAATCTGGGATTGACTGCACAAAAGGAACTATCCCAGGTCACACGAGAAACCCGGATATCATCGTAACACTGGTCATTTTTCACCGCTTGCCCAAATACATGCCGAAACTTGCTCTGTCGTACCACTCGCCTCATTGTGTCTGCAGAAAAAGAGCAGGAATTATGTTAAAACGATACCAAACTTGAAAGCGTTTCTTTCACAAATGAAAAACTGTAAGTAGGAAAAACAGAATGGCATGGCATTCTGTCTGCTCTCTTAAAAAGTAGCCAAATTGCAAATCCAAATTTCCTTTAGCAGCACATACCCAGAGAAAAACTGCAAAATGCGTCAGGGAAAGAATTACAAATAAACAAAAAATTCCTAATTCGGGATCCAGAAACAGTTTCATCAGTTTTCATTTCAGGAGAGAGATCAAGGGAAAGAATGAAGGAAAACTAACCTCTAGGGCTGGGTGGGAACTGAAAGATGATTCACTCACTCCCTGCTTAAAAAGATAAGAAAAAAATCAAAGTTAAGTAATCTGATAGATTTGAAGCTGAAGAAAGCCCAAGAACAAGTTATGATTTTGTGGCTTTTTCCTCAGCCTGCCAAGGTAATTTTTCACTTCTTAAACATTTTCCCCAGACATCAGCACTCTGTGCCTGCTCACCAGGGAGTTTCCACCAGACCAACCACACGTAGTGAGGAATGCAAAGGGACACAAGCAACTGTTCTTGTCAAGAGCCTTCCAATTCCCTTCTAACAGACACAGTAATCGAAGCAACCCAGTACCAGGCAGCTTGGTACTGCATGCTACCAAGTCTGACACAGGAAAATTTAGTCTGGGCTAAGGCAGCTGAATAGGTCAAGAGCCAGGTCTTCGAAAAGAGGAGCAAGTATTTCAACAGAAAGTCATGTCATGAGAGCAAAGTTTAGGATGATAATCTGTCTGGCAGTATGGCAAACTGCACGGATTAGACAGGAAGAAGCTAAAAGCCAGGTGCTGGGCAAAAAAGCTGTGACAGTAGAGGAAAAACTTCAGGGACTATTCTGAAGGGGTTAAAAAAAAAAAAAACCCAGGATGGTTGAACACTCACCACAACCCCTGCCCTAGTAAATCAGGAGGCCTGGGAGAGAGAAAGTGACACAGAGCTGGTCTCCCTGGGCTTCCTCATGGGTCATTTTAGACTCCAAATTCCACTAGGCTGTTCCATACTTATACACTGAGAACTCTGTGCTTGAGGATCGCCAGTCCCACCTGATAAAGGTTTCCTAGTCTCCACCCACTGTAATTTTCCTATCTGCTAATGCAAGACATTTCTTTCATCCTGGCTAGGATATAGGAGCTAAGAGAAAACCTAAGTGGAAATGGAACTGGAACACAGGCAAACCTTAACAACTCAGCCGAAAACCAGTCATCCTGATCCCCCATGAACAGAGGAAGGCTAACACTTGTCCACTCGTGCCAGATGGGACACATGGGGGGCTTCTACTAATTCCTTCCCTCTAATTCCCTTCCTAATGGGCCTAGACTCACCGCTAAATGTGAGGGAAAGCCTTCACTTTTGCCAGAGCCTCCTTCTATCCATTCCAAGGCATGTGCAAAAGTGGCCACTCTCCAGCTACTAGGGCTGTGGCTGGGCTGAGGTAACAGAGCCTTGGCAGGCAGCTCAGCATCTGTCTTCCTCAGCCCAGCTGTTACCAGACCTTTCCAACTGCCTACCAGGACCATAAATTTTGAATGCTTAGTAGAGAAGATGGCATATAATAGTCTTACACTTGGCCACTATCCTTCACTTGTGAAACAGTATGAGTAACTTCTCAAGCATGAGTTAGATAAGACAGCCTCCATGAGGTGGTGAAAACCAAGTGGAAAGCACATCCATAAAAAGCCAAAACTCTACAGCCAGCTGGCCTCAGGACCCATTTCCCTACACAACCATCTGCACAAGTTACAGACGCTGGAACTCCACCAGCATCTTCCAACAAGTGTGCCAAGAATAAGCTCACATAGAAAAGGACTGCACCATATGTCAAGAGTTAACATCCTTCGTATATAAAAAGTTTTTACAAATCCATAAGATGAAAAATCCCATTAGAAAATTAGGTAAAGGATATGAAGCAGTAACTTACAAAAGAAATACAATTGCATTTATCTTCATTCCTTCCTTAAACCCTAATAAAACGACAGTAAAGGAATAAAAGCAAGTATAAACCCAAAAGGACAGGAGCACCTGAAAGGAGTCTACAAGACAGCAGACATGACAACAACATTTTGGAGGTCAGAAAGCTAATACGTACATGTAACTGACTGCAGTATGACTGTGCTCTACTCAACCAAGTGTCTCAGGAGGAGAGCTCAGAAGAAGGAAGCCAATGTTTACTGTGAATCCTCAGAATGCTCGGAAGAGAAGGTGGGAGACATGGGGTATTTCTATAGACAGGGATGAAGAGAGAACTGACTGAAAGCCTGAATAAGGAGCAGCTAAAAAAAACCAACCGGTTGCCATCAAGTTGACCTCAACTCACGGTGACCCCATGTGTGTCAGAGGAGAACTGTGCTCCATAGGGTTTTCAATGGCTGATTTTTTCAGTAGATCGCCAGCCCTTTCATCCAAGGAGGCTCTGGGTGGACTCAGTATCCGACCTGTTTGTTAACAGTCAAGCACATTAACTGTTTACATCACCCAGGGAGCAGCCAGGCCCCCATATCTCCTCCTACACAATCAGGGGTCTGCTGGCCCCCACCCCAGGAGATTATAGGAGAGGCCAGACAGCTAGCCCTGGACTGGAAAACACCCAGCGCAGCTGACAACAGGTGGGAGCAGGTGCTGTACTGACAACCTGATGCTGTACAGTGGGGCCTCCAGCCCCTTGTTACTCATGGCTCCCAGAACACTTGCTGCCAGGTCTAGATACCACCTGTCCACCTCCCACCCTCTGTGAAGTCCACCACCCAATGAGCCACTCCTACCACACTGGCATCAAGTCAGCCTCACTTTTAATTGAATGTGAATGGAAGGAAGTACGATGCTCCATTAAAAAACCATCTATGTGAGACCAAAAAGTCAACAATTACTCTAAAGCAAAGACGAGAAGACAAGGGGGCAGGGAAACTAGAGTACTGGAAACGGAACAACCAGAATGCAATTAAAGAGAATGCTGACACGCTGTGAAAAATGTAACTAATGTCACTGAACAATCTGTACAGAAATTGCTAAATGGGAACCTAATTTGCTGTGTAAACTTTCCCTGAAAACACGATAAAATATTATTTAAAAAAAAAAATGAGTGGACATTCGAGAAAGGCCTCTAACCTGAAAGACAGAGATGATTTTTCAACTCTTCACTCAAATAGGTTATATACCATCTAACTTCACCACCAAGATGAAGATTAATATAGATATGTAAAGTGTTCCGATGTCTTCACTGTAAGACACCATATACAAACCTGCTGGCTGACTTACATACTAAAACCAAAAAAAAAAAAAAAAAAAAAACCCACTGCCATGGAGTCAATTCCGACTCATTGCGACCCTATACGACAGAGTAGAACTGCCCCATAGGGTTTCCAAGGGGCAGCTGGTGGATTTGAACTGCTGACCTTTTGGTTAGCAGCCACAGCTCTTAACCACTACGCAACTAAAGTAGCTTAAAAAGTCATTTCCACAGTACGCATAATGACAACTTGTTTTCATACTAACTACATCAGACCAGAAGGATACACAGGTTCTTTTCCTGCAACCATGATGTAGACGGTTAGCCAGAGAACAGAGTGAGCAAAGCAACTGCTTCCACAGCGCGGTGCTGACTGAGCAGGCATGTTGAGGTGGAGCTCAAACAGCAGTGTGAGCTCTTACAGAGCCAAGGTCGACCACGATCTGGGGTCAGCTGTCCACATCTGACACGGCTGCTTTTTGTCTCGGGCCCTCCAGGCTGTTCCACTTACTTAGGGGCCATGGTTAAGTAGGACAAGTCACCGAATCTCCTATGTGTCAGTTTCTCTATCTGAAAATGCTTACAAGTTATCATTAAACAAGCACTTGGTGATGGGTGATGGCAGAAGATTACTATGTAAAGCACCTTGTAGGTTGTTGTGTGCCGTCAAGTCAATTCCGACTTGTAGCGACCCTACAGGACAGAGTAGAACTGCCTCATAGCGTGTCCTAGGCTGTAATCTTTAAGCAATGTCCAACAAATGTTAGCTACTATTATTTAAGAGCCCACTAGTAGGTTTCTCTAAGCAGGGGAAAGACCCAAAATCCTTTCCTGTTAAGGGCCAAGAGTATAATTTTCATATAAGACAGACAGCATTAGTTATCAAGGACAGTTTACAAAATTTTACGTTCTCCCACCTCTGTGTAGTATTTAGCTCACTTTAACTTCCCCTCAAACGAGGGGAAAAAATGGGAACTATCCCAAACAGAAAATTCCCCACTTCTTAAGAGCGCTGCCTGTATTGCCAAATGGTATTAGCGTTCTACCAACTTAAAAATATGCTCAGCTGTAAATTTCCAAATTATGATGTCCTGTCATCAAGCCAAGGAGTTCTTTTGTTAAGTATCTTGTCCCAAGCCCATTAAGCTACATATCAGACAACTAAGGTGTCCCCCAAGCTAAAGTATTTTATAAAGGAATCTAATTCTCAGTTACATTAAAAAGAGTAAATGAAAAATCCAGAATACAATAAACTCTGAGTAGAGAAATCCACCAGTTGGCCCTTAAATACCTGCTAATGCAAAAGGCACACAGTCCAAGGAAATACTAGGCACAATTTTAAATACCCTGTCAGAGTACAGTTCAGTCTAGGACAAGCTGCCTGCTTATTAGTCTTTCAAGCACAAATTCTGCATAGGACCTTTTCATCTCACTGATAAAGAGGGAGCTGATGTAGTAGTAACTCATTCATTACACAAATCAAAGAAATCCTTATAAATTTTTAAATAAATTAACTTTGGATGGGAAAAGATACAACATGGCTTAAATTTCCATAAAACATGGGAATCACAGAGTCTTACCTAAGCGCTTATAAAATGCAATTCATCACTCTATCCATATTTCCAATAAGACTGGTACTATTCCAAAACGATTTTCATTATAATAAAAACCGAACCACCTTTGAGAGACAATGTGAAAACAGGTTGGGAGCACAGCTTCATCTATGAGATGCTCTCTCGGGCTTGAATGAAACTTCTATCTCAGAAATCCAAGTTTCCTCTTAGGCTGCTCAGGTACCCAAACAATCAGGCCCAGGGCGGAATAAAGATGATCCGTTACCCACCGACAAGTCTCCTTAAATTAGCTCTGGACTTCCCAAAACCCATTCCAAGTTGTAATTTCTCCGTTTTATCCACCGTTGCCATCTCTAGCAGAATTTCTGTTCTCTATTTTCACAATGCAAATTTGATTTTAATTACCAACAAAAATAATGCAAAAGTCAAATTCCTTTTGAATTTGGGAACATGGTCCTTTATACTGCTTAACTCTGCACAGGAATCTTTACATGAAAGATTTACTGATTATTGAGACTCAGCTCCACAGCATGGGTAATGATATTTACCTTTAGTTCTCCCCATCTGGCTTTTATCCAAGAAGGTATTTTTAAAAAAGGCTTTAGTAAGAATGAAAAGTGGAAAGTCATTAACACAGCTGAGGTACCTATAATAAAAAAAAAATTGTCAGGCTTTTTTCTTTTGTGTGTGAGTGATTGTTGATTCCAGGTGATGCTGAAGGCCAGAAAAGAGGATTAAGGATTTGATCTTGACTGCCCAGCAACTATGATAATAAATTTCTAATCAGCAGAGAATACACTCCTATTCTTAGCTTCATACAAAGAAAATGTAACACCTAACTAGTGATATTCATAATACTTAAGAGCTCATCTAAGGGAGCTAAGATAGATTAAGAATTTCTTTAGATGTTGGGTGAACATCTTAACCAAGTACAACCACAAGGTCTGTGTGTATGGCTTAAAGACTGGTTTTATAAGTGAAAGAGCAAAG